TATATAAGTTGTTGTGTGTAAATGTTTCTCCGTGTGCTTCTGTCTGTGTGTTGTGTGTCGTGTGCTTTGTGTTTTGTGTTATATGTGCTATGTGTTGTAGCTGACAAATGTACACATGCTAAGCTACATGTGCCTTATGCCAAGATTGTGTCTGTGTCGTGTGTGTGTGTGTGTGTGGTTGTGGTGTGTTGTGTGTCGATGTCGTTGTGGGTGGGCGGTGAGTGAGTGTGAGTGTGTGTGTGTTGGTTCGGGCTTCAGGGTTTGCGGTTTAGGGTGTAACTTGGCAGCTTAGCTTGAGACGGGTGTGTGTTGGTTCGGGCTTCAGGGTTTGCGGTTTAGGGTGTAACTTGGCAGCTTAGCTTGAGACGGGTGTGTGTTGGTTCGGGCTTCAGGGTTTGCGGTTTAGGGTGTAACTTGGCAGCTTAGCTTGAGACGGGTGTGTGTTGGTTCGGGCTTCAGGGTTTGCGGTTTAGGGTGTAACTTGGCAGCTTAGCTTGAGACGGGTGTGTGTTGGTTCGGGCTTCAGGGTTTGCGGTTTCGGGTGTAACTTGGCAGCTTAGCTTGAGACGGGACTCGGGGTGGAGAAGTTCCCTAAACCCCTAAACCCTAAACCCCTAAACCCCTAAACCCCTAAATCCCTAAACCTAAACCCTAAACTTCCACCAAGTCGAACATTCGGTCCTTCCCACATTTTCGCACAGCTCCCCAACAGTGTAGCACACTTCTCCAAGCCGAGGAATGCTCAGGCCCTCTTGGCCTCGATCTTGTGAAATTGCACATGTAAAGCCATTCTGTATCTTGTTGCAACCTTGATAAGAGCAGAACCGGGGCCATTCCCCTTGACCGATGCCTGTGTGAGCTCCTGTACTCGTCTCTGCTGGTCCTCTCCACTGAAGCACCATAAAAGTCGTGGCGAAACATGCCGAGCCAGAATGCCGCAGTGCTGAGCAAAATGCGACTTCTCGGTGACGTTGAAGAGCTTTTGAGGCTCATCTTGAAAGTGCCCTTGCAGCTGGTGCTGCAGCATGAGAACTCCATCGATAGAGGTCTCGAATACCGAAGCATCTCTCGAGGGCAGTGCAAAAAGCTCACGGTGATCAGTCAAAAGCTGCTCTGCATTGGCATTCAGTTTAAGGAGGAGGTGGATCTTACGATGTATCTCCAATGCTGGGTTCATCTTGGCCGCCCAGATGTTGAAAATCGGACGACTGAGATGTCGTATTTCAGCCCCCTTGCCTCGTAATTTGGGAGATCCTTTTTTTCTAAGGATCATGCTTAACCTGTTCAGGTATCTGAAGCGACATGGAACAGCCAAATCTGAGTACTGTTGCTGCAAAAGCTTCCAAAAGGACTGCATGTTTTCCTCTGGGGTCCCAGGAAGGATGTAAAAAACGAGCATGAAGATGATGCTGGCATATAAAAACTGGTCTAGGCCGAGGTATTTTATGTGAAGCCAGTCAAACGCCACGGTCCAACAGCTCGTTCCAGGAAGTTGCAGCAAAGGGCAGGATGATTTGCCAGACCACAATCGCCATTCGGAGGCTTTCCAAGACGTGGCTCGCCAAGCCGCAGAAGTTCGGAAGTCTTGCCAGCTGCAAGGGCCGACCTTCGTGCTCCGGCACAGAGCACATGGCCCCGAAGCCAATGTACTTCTTGGGAGGTCAAGGACCGATGCATAATAATCAAGATCGCCTTGCAAAGAGAAAAGGAAAGCGAAATGTCCTCCCATCAAAGGTTGTCCAGCTTTGCGAGCTTCCTGACTCCCTGCCGGGTACCTGATCTGTCTGGGTATATATGTCGGGGTTTATATATGTCTAGGCTTTTAAACAAATAGGGGAGGTCAACCCTAAACACTAAACCCTAAACCCCTAAACCCTAAACCGTGCTAGGCTCTCGAGCAAAGAAACACAAGATTGACAATGCCATCCAAGATACTGCTTGCCCGAAAAATCAGCTGATGGCCAAACACCTTCCCAGAGGATTTGAAATGACCAAGCCAGCACTGCCAAGAACTTGTGAGCGGTGCCATTCATGTCATTCGACATGACTCTCAGCTTTTCCCAAAATCCACCCATGTAAAACAGTAGCTCTTTCACAGAGCCAAGACCCAAAAGGCTCATGAAACTCAGGTCGGTCAACTGCTGGCACCAAGCTTTCCCCAACCCAGTGATTGGAACAGCATCGCCGTGAACACCCAGGGGTATGCAAAGCCGCTGATAATTCGGCCGAGCGAGGAGTGGGCTTGACTCCAGTGCAGGATGGCCCTTCACTGAGCGCCAAAACTGCTCGGCTCGGCTATCCGACGGCTTCACAACCTTAACCCAAACAGCTGGGAAAGTGTCATAAATGGATGCCAACAGCTCGTGTGGCATGAGCACCGGAAGTGTATCCAGACCCGCCTTGGTCGGTACCTTATGAAGAACCGCAGGTGGCACCTTGATGCTCGGGGCCAGCTGCCTTGTCAAGTCGGCCCAACACTTGTTCGGATACAGGCCACTGGCCCCCAATTTGGCCAAAGTTTCCAGCTCTCCAGGCATGTCGCCGGTCTCTCTGGCCCTCGCTGCATCCCTGCATGACAAAGCCGCTATTTTTTGCACTTGTTGCGGCGACATTGATCCCCACAGGCATTCTTCCACCAAGTAGGCAGCAAGATCAGAGGTTTGGGTTTTTTCCTCTCTACTTCTTTGCAGTCGTTGCCTCAGCCCACCTTTTCGCTTCTTCGCCGGAGGTTCAGCCATGAGAAATGAACAATCTAGGATCGTTGGAGATGAATATGCTCAGGGTCTGTCGCAAGAGAGTGTATTTTTAGATAAAAAAACCTATGTACCATGAGAGTCTACCATGAGAGTCTACCATGAGAGACTGTATACCATGAGAGTTTACCAATAGAGAGTGTACCATGAGAGTCTACCTTGAGAGACTTTACCATGAGGGTATACCATGAAACACTGTGTGACATAAGAGTATACCATGAAGGACTTTCATGTAAAAGGTCATATAACATGAGAGTCCAGCATGACATGGTACTCAGCCCGAAACCCTAAACCCCTAAGCCCTAAACCTCTAAACCCTAACTCCCAAACCCCTCGTTCTGGCTAATATGTCTACACACTGCCAGGGCCTTCGGAATGTTATCCAAGGAGACACCTAAGACCTATCGAGGAGTGCGATCACAATCTGGGCTTGCTTATCTGGAATGTGTAGCGATGTTGTTTTCATCTAGTGTCTGAGTCCCCTTGAGGGAGCAGACTTGAGCATTCATGTTCAAGTGATTCGATGCATCTTGTAATTTGGGGAATGCTTATACAGGTCGCTGTTGTAGAGGTTGTTCAAGCCTTTTAGGCGCTCAGGTTCAGGGTTTAGGGCGGAGGTGTATGGTTTGAAATTTCGGGGATTGGGGTATCCGGGCTTCCAGGGTTTAAGATTGAGGCTGCATGGCCGAAACAAGGGCGGTGGTCTATTGTCTATATGGGATTGGGTTTGGGGATAGAGTTTTGGGTTGAGGCTTCATGGTTTAGAATCGTGTGGGATTGCTGTTGGAACGTCCAGGCTTTGGGGTCCATGGGTTCGTGGTCTTATGTGGGTGTATACATGGGTTTGATAGTTTGGTTAGGGTGAGGCTGTTCGTGGTTTGATGCGGGTGGGGAGGGTTTAGGGATGGAAATTGCAACATCCAGGGTGTGCAGTTCAAACTTTGTGAGATTTATGGGTTTTGGGCTCAAGGGTTTGGGGTCTATATAGGTTTTTTTAGGTTTGGTCCTTAGGGCTTATAGGTATGTATATCTATTCATAGGGTTATTCAAGACATAGTGCTCAAGGCCTAGGTTTTAGGTTTCGAAGCTTAGGCTTCATAGACCTTCGGGCATAATTTCTATGGACCAGGTCACCAGACAATGGGTTTGAGGCTTAGGGTGCTTTTTGGAGCTCGGGTTTGTGTGCAAGTTTCGGTCGGTGGGTGAGGTTTGTATCCGGGATTTGGGATTCGAGCTTTTGTATAGTTCCTACATACAGGGCTGGGGCAACTTAGGAAAGGGACAAAAGGTTCAGGCACGGGTGCACTTCCAGAAAGATGTTTCAAAGCTTGCAGGCAGGGAAGAATTGGAAGCAGGGTTCAGGACATGGTTAGTAGCTGGGTGTGGTTGAAAGGGTTGGAGCTATACGGGTGGAGAGTTTGTGTCGGGACGTAGGGTTTGCAGGGTATCTTGTTCGGGATAGCAAAGTGTAAGGCTTAGGGTTTAAGGTTGTGTGTGGGCGGGTGGAGATTATTCCATGAAAGTATAATTAACTTTCATGGCATTATATAAGTTCGAAAAATAGCTCTCCACTCAAACTCTCATGGTATCGTTCTCTCAGAGAAGCTCTCTTGGAAGACCAAATTAGGGTTCTGGGTGGCTTGGGCTTGTATATGACATACTTACAGTTACATAAGACTCTATTTCTCAAACAAAAGCGCCATGGCGACGACATTTTTCATGTCTAGAGTCTAATGCTTCGGTTCGAGCGAGATTTCCTCGATGGGTGCACAGCATAGCTGCAAGCGGAGGCCAGAGCAAAGATCGAAAAACCTAGTCTATCGACACAGCTACGAAGATCCAAAAAATTAGTCTATCAACACAGCTATGGTCTATGCTGCTTCTATAACTCTTCACTCCTCCTGCTCCTGCCCAAAACAGCTTACAGCTACACGTAGCACCGGTGGTGTTGCATACACAGCTGTACAGGGGCCAGACAAAAGATCGAAAAAACTAGTCTATCAAAACAGAACAGCTATGAAGATCAAAAAAACTAGTCTATCAAGACACCTATGCTTTGTGCTACTTTATCTGTAACTGTTCTTCTTGCCCCACCAAAAAGCTGCTCGCAGCAACATCTAGCACAGGTCTTGTTGCAAAAAGCACATCGGCAGCACACACAGCATCTACAGCCGGTCAGCTCAAGCCGATCATGCGATGCTCATGAGAGCATGATCATCAGATCCTCTTGATGACATCTTAGACGTCTCAATTGATTTTGGCTTTCAAGGCCCCTTTGCTGCTCTCAACCAGAACATTGAACTGCTCCGTATGATCGGCCACCTTCAGGAGGAACTTGTCGAAATTCGGCTTGGTCAAGGCCTCGTCATCCGGGAGCTCGCGAAACTGCTTGATGTGGTCCAGCTTCACGATGAACTCCTGGCTGCCCTTGTGGTACTTGCGAAGGTTCTTCGTCGTATCATCATCCGCCCCCCACTTCTTCAAGATAATCATGGCATCCTTGGAGAGCTTCTGCTGGGCTTCCAAGGCCGTACGAAGCACTGCCTCGATGTTGGTGGGCACGGAGCCCCCCTTCGCGAACTTCTTGGTCTCATCGGTGGAGTGCTTCATCTTCCAGCCGATGCGAGAAAAGCACTCGGACAAGATCTTGGCCTGATCCTTGCTCACCTTGGCAGTCGAAGAGAGCTCCTCCTCCTCCATGCACCCTGTCTTCTGGACTGCCTTGAAGGTCTGAAAGCTAAAGAACTTGACTCCTGGGACCGAGCTCTTCGCCTCGCAAATCTCGCCCTTTGCCAGGGCGGCCTCGAACTTGTCGTCGTTGTTGGCATAGAACATACCCTTGAATATGCTCTCGGGGTAGGAGATCTCGGAGCTCTTGGAGAAATTCTCGTTGTAAAGCTTCTTGTGCTCTTTAAAGCAAGCATCTTGCAAGTTCAAGTGGATCTTGCCTGACTTGTCCTTGGAAACGACATAACAACACAGAGCAAACCACGAAGAAACAACATTGGCAAACTGGGGTACAAAGATCCCAGTCGCCCTGACATTCGGCTGGTTTCGTAGCAAAGAATGCTATCGAGATGGTGTTACAGAACTAGAGAGTTTCCTTACATAGTGATGATCGTTCTCTGGTAGTTTTTCTTTTCGTGGTACCGCCAAACACATCACGACGACATTTACTACTACAATACTCCTCCTCCTCCTCCTCCTCCTCCTCCTCCTCCCTCTACTCTACTACTACTACTACTACTACTACGACTACTACTTCTGCTACACTACTATTCTAGACTTCTTCTTTACTACTACTACTACTACCACCACCACCACCACCACGGAGCAAATGGAGTAGTATACTGTATAATAGTAAATGTAGACCCATGCCCCTGGGATGCAAAGACCGTGCTCATAACATAATCTCGCAGCCAAGATTCTCTCTTGAACAGCTTGTTGATGATTTTCGACTTGAACTCCCGTGGGTGGGCTGCCTTGGCCGACTGGGTCTCCACCAAGTCCACCACGTAGGCAGGCAGGTCTTTCTTCATCTTCTGAAACTTGAGAGCAAAGCCCTTGTCTCTTGAGGTGCTTTCGTCACCCTCATCCTCCTCCTCCTCCTCCCCCTCCATGTCGTGGTCGGCCTTCCCATCCTCGATGCACAAGGTAGCCGAGCTCTTCATTCGCTTGATGGAATCATTCATGCTCCCTTTCTTCGTGATGGCCTCATCCTCCTCCTCCTTGACCTGCTTGGTCTTCGTGGACTTAGCCGCCGCCGGCTTTTTCATGACTTTCATGGCCATCTTAGAAAGCACCATGCTTTCAAAAGGCACAACACACGGAACGACTAGCAAAGCTACTGCACCGATGCAGCTGGGCGAAAGCACTGCACAGCAAGCCAATGGAAGTTTAGTGGAAGTTTCCACCAAACTGCTACTAGCACTTTGGTGGTAGTTTGCTAGCAGTTCGAAAGCAGTTTGGGAAGCAGTTTAATAGCAGTTTCGGGGCTTTAGGCAGTATTCCCTGGTACATATATAAAAAGCATGCATAGAAACTGCTACTGGTAATCTTGGAAACTGCTAATGGGCTGCTAATTGCCAGTGGAAGTTTAGTGGAAACTTCTACCAAACTGCTACACTAGCCAGTGGAAGTTTAGTGGAAACTTCTACCAAACTGCTACACCTGCTTGTGGAAGTTTACTCGAAATTTCTACTAAATTGCTACTGGCACCTAGAAACTTTACTTAAATTCCATAGCTTTTTGCTTCTGCTACATTATTGGAAACTTACCCTGGCCTGTATATTGGGTAGTGGGAACACACATCCGGGTCTGAGTCTGGGTTTGGGGTTTCGGGCCTTTGAAGCTTTAGGCTTTGAGGGTTGTGGGTTTCAGGAGTTATAGGGCTACAGGGTTTTGTTCTTTGAGGGGTCGTTGCTTTTGGGTTCGAGGCCTGTATATTGGGTAGTGGAAACACACATCCGGGTCTGAGTCTGGGTTTGGGGTTTCGGGCTTTTGAAGCTTTAGGCTTTGAGGGTTGTGGGTTTCAGGAGTTATAGGGCTACAGGGTTTTGTTCTTTGAGGGGTCGTTGCTTTTGGGTTGGAGGCTTTGGGCTTGTGGGGGGCTGAAGGGTTTAGGGGAGGAGATAAGGCACCAGGGTTTTAAAATTTTAGGGTCGTGGCTTTGGGGTTTGAGGCTTGAGGCTTGGAGGGCTGAAGGGTTTAGGGGTTGTGGCTCTTGGGTTTGAGGAAATAAGGCAACAGGGTTTTAAAGTACTAGGGGTCGTGGTTTTGGGGTTTCAAGCTTTAGGCTTGGAGGGCTGAAGGGTTTAGGGGTTGTGGCTCTTGGGTTTGAGGAAATAAGGCAACAGGGTTTTAGGGGTCGTGGCTTTGGGGTTTCAAGCTTTAGGCTTGGAGGGCTGAAGGGTTTAGAGGTTGTGGCTTTTGGGTTTGGGGAGATAAGGCTACAGGGTTTTAAAGTTTTAGGGGTCGTGGCTTTGGGGTTTGAAGCTTTAGGCTTGGAGGGCTGAAGATTTCGGTGGTTGTGGCTTTTGGGTTTGAAGCTGTAGGGCTGTATGGTTTCAAAGTTTTAGAGGTCGTGGCTTTTGGCTTTGATGTGGCTTGTGGGTTTGAAGCTTTCGGGTTGCATGGCTTTTGGGTCTGAGGGCTTTGGGTGCTAAAGTCTAGGTTTGGGCGGCTTTAAGAGGTTTAGGGGCTCTGAGGAAATCGTGTTGGCTTGCTGGGCAGCACTCTACACACCCTCCGGTAACCCTCAATGTTTCATCTCAGCCCTCTGGGTCGCTCTCTGAGCTCCGGCCCCCGTGTGAAACATCGTCGCCGCCAGCCTGTGGGGTCTTAGCTTTCTAGGTGAAGTATTATGCGGGCTTCATATATGTTACCATGTGAGAGGGCGGACTATGGTTACCACCGAAAGTGAACCAGCACAGCTTTAAAGCAATCTTAGGCCACATAATGGTTTAGTTGCAGCACAACACCAACGTTGCAAACCCCAAAGATCCCATAACATCTTATAACACCTGATACCTGAACCGGCAGGAAACCCTAAACCCCCAAACCCGAAACATTCTGAATCCCTAAGTCCGGGTTCAAGGTTTAGGGATGAGGGTTTGGGATTTAGGGTTTAAGGTTTCCGGTTTATGGTGATCAGATAGCATTATATTGTGCTTATTTTGCAAACCTGGCCTCCGACATCACATCTGGCTCCACTTCGCCAGGCTCCGTCGGGGTGTGCTCGTCCAGCCTCGGTCGCTTCCGATATCGCTTCACCACAATTGGACCCACAGACGATGGCGAGCCAACTGTAGCAGAGCCATCTGTACCAGAGCCATCTGTACCAGAGCCACGTGTACCAGAGCCATCCGTACCAGAGCCATCTGTAACCAGAGCCATCCCCATCTGTACCAGACTCAGAAGGCGCCGAAGCCTCAGCCTGACCCAGCAGGCTCCCTTGAAGCTGGGCCCTCAGAGCTTCGTCCCGTGCATCTGTACCAGAGCCAGCATCTGTACCAGAGACATCGGTAGCCTGTGTACCAGCAGGAGAAGTGGGCTCCAAGGTCGGCGAAAGCGGTTGGGCCACCAAGCGAGGATCCACTTCAGCTGCTGGTGCCGGTGCTGGTTCTGGTGCCGGTGCTGGTTCTGGTGCTGGTGCCGGTGCGGGTGCTTGTGCTGGCGCTTTTGCGGGTGCTGCACCGCCAACACCAGCACCAGCACCTTTGCCCCTCCTCGGCTCAGCAGGCTCTGCAAAAAGAGGGGCCTCGGCCACTCGGAAGTCGTACTTTCCGTGCAACTGCTGGCATAACCAGGTCACATTCTCCCTGCAGGCCACTTCCAAAAAAGCACTGCACATTGTTTGCTTGCCAAAGTTGCCCTTCCGGACGATAGTAATATTCAGACATTGAACACCCAAGTCCCAGCATACTTTGGCGATTTCTGTCCTTGTAACCTGAAATCTGAGGTTTCTCAGGAACACACGATGCTGGCCATCCATCTCGGTGAAACTGGTTGTAGAAGGATTCTAGGATTACAGGGTGCTCGGTTCCGCACGGTTGCTACAAAGCTAAAGCCCTAGGTTGTAGACTGTAGGTTTGCAGGGTGCTATACGGTCAAGGGTTGTAGACTTTAAGCTTGGCTTTGTAGGGTGCTAAAGTCTGAGGTTGTAGAATCTAAGCTTGGGTTTGCAGGGTGATGAAACTTCTCAGCGGGTGTGCATGGAGGCGGGTGTGTAATGCTTGATTTTTGTTATGTGAACACTGAGAACACAAAAGACTTTAGGGTTCAGGGTATATAGGACCATGAGGAGTAATGGTGGCTAGTAGTTATTATTCTCAAAGACAGGAGGTCCTACCAGTACTGGATTGACTATAAAGAGTATGGTGGCTGATGCCTGAAGCAGAGTATTTGCCAATGCCACATGTTTTGATTGTCGCAACTGGACTTGAACCTCTCGAGGCTGCATATGTTCCCCCTTTGAATGCTGGCACGGTTTAGGCTTCAGGGTCTGTACTATACGGGTTCGGCGGATCTGGAGCATAAGATGCTTTTGTCTAAGCATGACTATGTTCATACACAGATGTAGTTCGCGGGTTGTCTACCTCTTGTGGGGATGAAGTAAAGCTTCGGGCTGCAAACCCCCATAACTCAAGACCTTTTGAGACCTTCACACTATGTTCAGCAAACAAGCACATGATCCAAAGACCAAGGTCCCCCGAAAAGCCTGGAATCCTGAAGCCCGGAACTGATCCCCTTTGTTTCCTTAATCCTCGAGAGTTTGGCTTTGCGAACAAAGGGTGAAGGCTTGTTGGGTTTGGGCTTGTTTTGGGTCGCTTGGTTTAGGGATGATGAGGTGCTTCAGGTGTCTGCAGATCTCTCTTTTCACTCCAAGTAGCACTCAAGGTACACTCAAGGTAGCACTCGAAGTAACTCTCAAAGTATCTCTCAGGGTAACTCTCAAGGTAACACTCAGGGTAACTCTCAAGGTAACACTCAAGGTAACACTCAAGGTAACACTCAGGGTAGCTCTCAAGGTATAACACTCAAGGTAACACTCAAGGTAGCACTCAGGGTAGCTCTCAAAGTAACTTTCAGGGCAACTCTCAAAATCCCTTCGAGGTAACACCCAATATAATTCTTGAACCACTCAAATCCCCTGTACACTGGAACTCCTGTGGATTCCAAACTCACCCTACACCCCAAACCCTTGTCCTGGCCCTGAACCCGCACTCCTAAAGACCTCGAGCCTACCCCTGAAAACCCCCACCCCTAAATTTCATACGATATAATATATGTGTATGTATATTTATTTAAAAATATGTGTATATATATATATATAACAACCAGATACCCTGACAACACCTGCGATCTTGACCACGGCCAAACTTCAGAACAGACCCCATAATCTTAAGGAGCTGGACCCAAATCCCAAAACCTTGTCAGCCTGGACACTAAACCTTGAACCTCAAATCAAAAACCCTGAAAACCTCAAGTCCTAAATCCTGAACCTCAAGTCCTAAACCCTGAAACACAAGTCCATATCCCAAGCCCGGAGAAGAGTTAGGATTGAGGGTGCCAGGTTTGGGGGTTAAGGTGCTTCTACATATTATCTAGTGCTTAGGGTCTAGGATTTGGGATTTGTATATAATGCACACATGGTGTTTAAAGAGGGTTTGAGCCTCTAGGCTCTAGGGTTGAAGTTCAGGTTTTGGGGTTGTTCTGGCGCTTTTTAGACTTATATACTTAAACCCATGCAAGTTCGCACAAGCAGACAAACCCGAACACCTACACGGAGACACACACACAAGCACACCCCACACCCCACACACACACCCCACAACACACACACACCTAGCTACACATACCTGTGTATGTACATCTACAGTAGAAGCTGGACACAGCCTTGGTTTTTTCACGTCTGGACCCCTCGGTGAACATATGCTCCATGCTCGGACACTCACAATTGCACATGCTATAGGCATGACAGGAGTGCACAGACACTTACCCGGATTCGTGTGCCTCTGTGATTCACAGAGACAGAAACAAAAGCTTCAGACAAGCAGCCAAAACTGCACTCACGAGCAAAGTGTGCATACTGCTATACTTGATCTGCTTCTTTGTGCGG